TCCCAGCTTTCAGGAGGCAAAGTCAGGCAGAGAACTCTGTGAATTCAAGTCCCGCCTGGTCAACTGACCAAATTCCAGAACAGTCAGGGTTACACAGAGAAATCCAGTCTAGAAAAACCACACACACGCATGCGCGCGTGCACACACACACACACGCACACACACTTAAACAAAAGAATCAGAAAATTGGTCAACTTTAGCCTACAGAATACAAATGTTGACTACAGCGAATCATTAAGATAATCAAAAGCACCAACAACCATAAAAGCAAAGCAAATCAAAAAAAAAAAAAAGATTTCCGCTGTGTTTTATTAAAATTCTTTAAAAATCAGAATAGCTATAGGCTAAATCCAATTACAGTATATGAGTACGACTTGTTTGAAGTTGAGTAACTATGGTCATATTCTGAAAAGATTATCAGTGCAACATGATGTTTACTAAGGAATGGAGGAAAAATGGGACAGGGAGGAAGAAAGAAGTAACGAACGATGACAGAAGAAAGAAATTGAGAGAAAAAAGCAATACGTTCTCAAAGCTCTGTAATGGATTTTGATCAGCAGTAGGGATGTTTGAAAGAGCCAACTGTAAGATAGGTTTCTTAAAATTCAAATCCTAGAAAAAAGTCTGAGACTATTGTTCATAAGAAAAGCAATAAATTTAGAGTTTCTTTTCTAAATCCATATGAGTACTCTAGAATTTATGAGTAAAGGAAATGTGGCTTTTTATTATCAGGGGTAGAAAAATTGAGCATTTTGTTCTTAAAGTGTGTTTTACTCTCAATATTTTTCACAATTATATTATGTTAATTGTGACAATCATGCAATAAACTCCCTGCCAACAATGTATACATTCCCACCTGCAACGGGTGTGATTTGAATAATAGTGGCAAGAAAAGTTTCAAATTCTAATTTACATTATTGTGAAATTTAATGATTTATTTGAAAACACTTCAGTACTTAAATCTGTTTTATTAAGAATATCCAATTTTGATATTTTCAGATTAGGTTACTTATTTTTACATGTTAACTAAAAGAGGACAGCACTTAAAGAGCGAAAGACTGAACATGGAAATAATCCCTTTGGCATTGATACCAGTCTAAGAATCATGCAGTACAAATATATAAATTAAAAACCAAATGGTAATTATAGTGTGTGCTAAATTAGTATTTAAAAATAGCATTCATATTTAAAATATTATTGTCATTATTCCTTCATATTCAATACACATGGGATTTCTAAACAAATACCTCATTTTGAAGCTATTGTACTCATAGTTAAAATACCTCAATTCAGCAGTGTACTCAGGTTTATTTTTAGTTTTTACTATTACCAGCCTCTAATACTTATTCTGCAAACTTTTAGACATAATTTGATGTGTCACACAGGAAAATGAACTGGCAGGAGGCAGTAAATCCCTGCCATTGCTTAGATCTGCAGAATAGTAGCTCTTGACTCCTGGGCACATGAATGAGTGACAATGATAATGAACTTGTAGGTGTTGACCCACCCCAGGGATTCTGATTCCATTGTTCTGGAGGTGGCTCTCAGGCAAGAGCACTTTGACAAATGCAATAGTTTGAAGGGTTGAGTTTACTGCAAATTGTGCAATAGTCATAACTAGAGAGGAATTATGTTGTTGCCTTGGCACATGCACTCCCCTTGGTAGCATGTTCAGAAGATCAAGAAACCATAGAAGAATAACCTTCAGAGAAAAAATGAATACATTAGTAGCAGAAAGGATTTTATTAATATTTACTTCCTTATTTTATTGATATTAAAAACTGTGTGTTCTTCAACTTTGATCTTGGACTCTATAAAGAATCAGGCACAGAAACCAAATATTAGGCTTTACATAGGAGTCCCTGCATTTATTAAGCAAAATACATGTTTAAATGTACATAGCTTTGGCTCCCTCAGAGAGAATATATATTAGCAAATAATCAAAAGTGGCCTCAAAAGTGGCCTCAAAGGTCAGGGCTGACATAAGCTTTGCTGAGGTAGGACTTTATTCTGTGTACCATATAAGGAAGCTGTGTGTTGCTGTCATTTAGAAAAAGATAGTTTATTGAATCATATAGAATATCTTTTCAACATAGGATATCTTGTATTTAATGACCTTCATAAACTAATAAACTTCTTTTCTGTGAGAAATAACCAGCAAAATAAGAATGTGGTAAAGATGTTGAAAAGCAATTAATATATCGAAAATCAGATAGATAGATAGATAGATAGATAAATAGATAGATAGATAACTGCCTTACAGTATAAATAATATATAGCAGAAAAATAAGACATTATAAATACTAGCACATATATAAGGTTGAAAGTTTTGAAGAGTAGACCAGTGTATCACAATTGTTCTGCTTCCTGAAAACAGTTTGGAAAAACAGACTATCTCTCTAGGGTGCAATATGTAGGCAGCTTTAAAGATCCTAGAAGGCCATGGCATTTAAATAACTCAGCATTGATTTGTGTGCCTCATGTTCAAGTAAATTCTTAGGAATATTTGCAGGCATAGTCATCTGAAATTAGTTGAATCCATGAAGCATTGTTCTTTCCTTCCACAGATTATTAGTTTATATAATTGTTTGGGGACACTCGCTGTTTATGTTGCTGTACTACATTGGGAACCTGAGCATCACTTGGTGGATTTATAAATTCATTTTTCCAGGCATTACTCAGAGCTGCCAAACCAGAAATGCTAGGGAGTTTTTAACCATTCTAAACTTTAATAAATCATCTATGTATTAATAATACAAACTGCATTTGCTCAACTTTTTCTATAACTGTGGGAAAGAATGTAAAGCATGCTTAGCATCCTCCAGAAATCCCGTTCTGTGTCTCGGACTAAGAAAGCGGCAACTCCTCCTCCCCTTCTGTTTTAGTACAGGGTTTTCTCTCTTTCAAGGTGATGTGATTACGATAGAAATATGATCATACCTGAAGCAAACATAAATGTGCTTCAAAGCCTGTTATAAGGTAACAGGAAGCCTTGGGCAGGTTTGTTGTTGACACTGAATATAAGCTTTTGCTCATAATAAAGCTTTTCATGTCTACTTACACGTAATATTCAAATTGCACAAGACAATGAATAAACAATACTTGCCCATTAACAGGCTTTTTTTTTCTGTGTCTTAATACCAAATCAAACTTAATTTCATTTGCACTGAGTTTCTTGTTCTAAACATGTCTCTTTGTGATTTTAATTTAATAGAACACAGACAAATGCGTAGGGGTGTGTGTGGTCGGGGGTGGGGGGGGCGGAGAACTTTGAACTCTGTTGGTAAGACTTTGGCCTAAATATAAATCTTTAAAATAGCTATTCTTAAGGTCATGGCAAGCATATTGTAACCCAATGAAAATGTTTCTAGATCTGAATCCATTCAGTAGGGGCTTGTCACTCAGCTACTTCACAGCCTCTCTGGTGACCTTGAGCATGGAACTTGCCTTGACTGATTCTTCGTTTTTTTTCATTTTGAAGCCAAGTCTTCTGTTGCTCAGATTCTTAACTGTATCTTGCTGAGAATTATATACACGATGCCTATTTTGGTCTCTAGGAACTTTCTCATGATAATTAAGTTAAGTTAGGAAAGTTATTCAAATTGTAAAGCAATGTGGCAATCAAGCTTTTTTTTTTTGAAGAATGATCTGTTATAAAGAAACATGCAGGTAAAACCATGATTGGCCATGAAGTAATCTGTTCTAAAGATTCTTTACTATTAATATCTTACTTTATTCTTCCCTATTCCTCTGAATCAAGTAGAAATTCTGTGTTTTAGAAAGGTGTGTCTGTCTGTCTGTCTGTGAATACTTATTTATATTTTATAGGCAAAGTAACAAATAGAAATATTCATACATCTCTAAGTATAATTACACATTAAGTGGGTTTCCAATTTCCCCACCCTAGTATGTCTCGTTTCCTCGCTCAAATACTCTCTACTACTCTGCAAGGCAACATCCTCGTATTTGGAATTTTGTTAATCATAGACATGCCTTTTCCAAGGATTAAAATGAAGCTGTCAGCCATTGCAGATGGCACGCCATAGAAGTCACACAATTGAAGCACCCTACTACCATGTGGACTCTGACATGTTTTATTTCATGAAGTTTCAGTTTATTATTAAGAAATTTGGGAAAGCGATCCTTTCAATGCTGCAATAACTAGTTCCTTAACACATTAATAGTAGCTACAGCCTAGTTTTGCCACACCACTGACCGCATTTGGAATACTGACAGGAATCCTAAGGCCATGTTTAATTTGCATTAAATTTGCATGAAAATATAAATCAAAAAGTACAGAAATACAGCCCTAATATTTGTCAGTGCTTAGATCTTTCCTGATAGATGAAGGGAAGCTGCTGGAGGTTTGATTTTGCTTGTAATGAAACTGTGTAAGTATCAGCTTTGTTTTCAAGGCAAAGGGGACCCAAGGAAGCCATCTCATGTGGGCATATGTGTATACTATTTAAGATTTTAATTCTGGAAAACCATGACTCAGATGTGTCTCAGAGACTCTCCAATCTAGAAACAAATTTTCCCCTATGGTGTCACAGAATCTTATTGTTAGTCTGACTTACAACAACTTATTCAATAAAGATTCAAGTCACAAAAAAAAGACAACCGGGTAAGAAGGGATCACAGCTCCTAGGAATTTTTATTTTTCTAAACATTTTTAATAGCACATAAGGAAATAATAATGATTTTTAAGGCAAAGACAGGTATTAAAAAGGCTTTCATAAATTCTGCAAAATACTGAAAAAATTAAAAGAACTTCCTAAGAATTTCAACATTATGTACACTTATGTTAAGATAGCTGTGTGTTTGCTGTGTGTGGGTGTGTGTGTTTTAAACAAAGCTAATGGGGGAAATGCCACCAGTGATTAGCACATGGGTCTTTTTAGTTCTTTCTTTTCAAGTCAGTCATCTAGGAGGAAAAGCAAGTGTCTTGCTCATCACAGCCACTCTCCACGGCTCACCCTCTTATTCTACTTTTCCCTTACCTTGCACGATCAAGTAAACTTGGGAGGTCTTGGGCTCATGCTGTGTCTGAACCGAGCATGTGTAGGATCCCTCGTCATAGACATCCACCTTCTGGATTCGGAGGCTATATTCCAGAGAATGGCGTTTCTCCAACTCAACCCGAGGATCCAGAGACCACTTGTCATGTCCAGCGAAGATGATGCCAGAACGGTTCAACCAGGCAACTTTCGAGTTTTTGTCTTCTACCACACATCTAACAGAGCAGAATAATCCAGTTAGTGCCTCACCATTTCTGTTTGTTTTCATACTCTGCATGAGAGGACTCAACAAGACCAATCAAGACAAATAATTACAGGCACAATAAATCATCATCATGACATTTCTGAAAGTGCTAAGTATTTTCCCCATTTCCTTTAAGATCCAGTCACCACCCAGAGTGTGAATGCCATTATATTAGTTTCGATTCAGCAATAAGCAACAGGAATGTGAGCAATACGACCCAGTAATGTTGAATGATGATTGACTTCTTACTAGATTATCTTCTTCGTGTTTAGGAAAAGGTCATTCACACAAAACTCCATCTGCGTATATATTTTGAGACTCCTGCAATTGATACTGCTGTGGCACTTCTGCTTCATTTCAAGCCACGTTTATTTTTTCACAAGCATGACCTACAGTGCTGTGAGTTCTTCTCCATATTTAGAAGGATTAGACTAGATTTCAGAATTCACTTGTGACTCTGAAGCATTTGGAATGTTCATGTCCTGGGATGAGGTGTGTGTGTGTGTGTGTGTGTGTGTGTGTGTGTGTAGAGGCATGAGTGGGAGGATGTTGATCAAGAAGATCAAAGCAAACATCATCTGGTTTAGGTTCCTTTCTACATGCTGAGAGCAACAGGCGCCTGATGGGGAGATAATTTGCTCTCAGCACTTCTGATCATATTAACTGAAGTAATCTTTCATCAGAGATGAAGAAAACAGATTTCTACTCATATTCTAAGGAAGATAAATGATAGGTGCTCTTATAAATGGCAAGACGTGTAGATGTGTGTGCATGTGTGTGCTAGAGAGGTGAGGAGTGAAGCTGGGAATGCATTGCTTTCCTTGAATTTTAGGTTTAAAAAGTTGGGCTAGGAACAAAAAGAAAAACAAAACAAAACAAAACAAACAAACAAACAAAAAACACTTTCTCTATATATCCCTATGTCAAGATGTATGTCTGGCCTACAGGAAGAGGAACCCAAGTGTTGTTCACTGCTGCAGAGCCAGCTGCTCAGCACTCTGGGGCACAAAAGAAAGGCAAAATTTCCAAGATCTTGACAAGAGAATCATTAAAACAACACATTCCCCTGTATTTTCTAAGTCAAATCAAATACAAGTTTTTTGCCAGGGTGGAAACATAGACTGCCCATTCCCATGCATAGGGAGGAAGCATGAAGAATTCAGGAGCTGCCCAAACCTGGCTCTAGTGGCCAAACCCATCTCAAATAAGAAGAAGAAAAGATCACTATTGAATATACCCTAGCTAAAGTGCAAAGCCCTTCCTACCCTCTTACATTTCGGCAAATGGTATGGTTTTTCTGTTTTGTTTTGTTTTGGTTGTGCTGGAGTGAAAGCTTGACACTTTGTATGCTAAGACGCACAAGTCTTATATTTCTTTTTTCCTTGTTTGTTTCCTCAGACACAGATCATTTTAGGTCCTAGATGCTATTTCCATCTCCCAGGATGTCTTTCTCTGCCACAGAGATACTGTTGGATTAGGGATAATTACACATGTTTGGCAATTTGTGGCTACTTTACAAGGAACATGACTCATTTCATGGTCATGGCTGCTGCTTCCGTCCAGATTTTGCATTTTCTGATTCTTTGGCGTCACTCCTCTGCTCAGAGTAGCTTTAAAGGCACTTTTCAATCTACAGTGATTTAGAGTTAAATGGTAGTGTGTTGTTGGCACCATTAATACACTTAAAGAATGTGGACATTGATTTTTGTGTTCTTTTCTATTTGAAAGGTTAGAAATGAACCTGTGTAAATGTATTTTAAATCCCAAAGCACATGTCCCTTGTACTTTTGTCATATGTATAACTCAAAACAGCAATTAGCAGACTTACTATATCATAGAGAAGTACTCCAAGTGTCCTTTAGTCTCCAAAATGGCTGTGTCATGTTTATCATATTGCATAGATAAATAGAATGTGGTGATCCTAGCCACAGTGGATACATCTAAAACAAAAATCCTGCATCTGTGCTCAGAGAACATTGTTGAAAAGAAAGCAGAAAGATGGTAAGAGCCAGAAGACCAGTAAGTCTGTTATGAGATTGTGTCTTCCAGCAATAACAAGGAAGACCTCCATAATAATTCAACAACATGGGAACCTGACCATAATTCCTCAATAGTGCTGCTTCCTAGGCAGAATCTGAACAATGACAAATCAATAGACATGTTAACACTTAAGTGGGGAATCACCCTGTGTCCCACACCGAGACAAAGAACTATAGGCAGCTAACGGTTACTGAAAGAGGGAAAATTAGCTTCTCCCAGAGATGAACCTCTAATTGGTTATCCAGTTCAAGAGTCTGCTACTAAATTGATAAATTGATAAATTTCAGGTTTCACTAAAAGGACTCAGAAAGTTGTTTTTATACGCTCATGTTTGCATACATGGAATAATAATAATAAACATTGTCATTTGGAAATGGAGTTGGAGGTTTACGAAGATCTGGAAGAACAGGATGTGGGAGGGCTGGAGGGAAGAAAACGATGGGCAGAGTGATATAATTATATTTCAATTTTAATTTTTTAAATAAATATAAGCAAATGAAGCCCAAATTTGTTCATTATATATATATATATGTATATGTATATAAATATTAGTTCTCAATTTAATTAATACCATATTTTGGATTGTTTATCTGGACATTTTCCAAAGCAAATCTCGAATACAATAGACATTTTGGAAACACTTTCTATGTCAATTAGCATGTTCACAAAGAGAAACAAAGGTCATGTGACTGCTATGTTCCATGCCCCATCCCAAGCCCTACAAAATCCACAAATATCTTGGACCAATTTTCTTATCAGCATCATGTAGACATGCTGGGTCGGGTTCTTAGGATCTTCTGGCATTTTAGCAATCTTTCTCCAAGGAAAAGTTGAAAATCACACACATCATTATTCCAAATAATCTTCGGAAAGTATTCCAATCTATCTTACCTAAAGAAGCAGTTGATTATTTCAGCAAGCCTGCCAGACTTACATAAATGCATTGACAGCAACAATGCATTATGTGAACAATGCATTATTGTCAAGGTGATCTACATAACGTCTTACTTTTAGTTTAGGCTTCATTCTTTACTTTTTAAATTTACCTCTTACTTGCAAACAAGTGAAAGGTATGTTAAAATCCTGTCACTTATTTTACTGGCTTATCCTGTTATTTGAAAAAAACAAACACAAGACAAGAAAATAAAGAATAACTATCTATCTATATCTATATCTATATCTATCAAAATTGGTTTGCTGAATCTTTAAGATCTCATTTTATGTATTCAAAAGATTGTAAGCAAAAGCCTTCTTTGTAGACTAGAAAACAATCCCTCCACAATGTGATGACAGTTTTTCTAAGAAAAACTGAGCAAATGCTCTTCTAGAACTAATTTAATTTTTAATTTTGAAAATCTTCATCTAAGGTGATAACTAATTTAAACTGTAAACTGTACACATAAGAAAAAGATGCTAAAAACCCAAGTATTAATCTTAATTTGCATAACTCTGTCGATTAAAGGAACCAGCCACTGAGTAATCACACACCACCTGGCTGTGCAGAAATGAGACTGCTGGTATAAACACATATCCATCATTCACTGACTTGACAACAAATATCGTGGGTTTGCATCTAGGAACAAGGTTGGCTTAGCTGTGGGTTAGGCAGGGAAGCAGAATGAATTAAGACACTGGAGCTGTACCAGCGTAGTGTGATTATAGTGAATTAGTAACATTTAAATGCTCTTTGCATACAGGACAACGCTGTAGTTCAGAATATATACTTGATGACCTTTTCTCCAAAATTACCCAAGATTAAAACAGAAAGTGTGAAAACTATTTTTAAAATCTTTTCTTATGAATTTTTCAGTTCAATGGGATGTTTCATCAATGAGATTATGACATTGCAACTAATTTTGGGGTTGAGAAGAAGTGTTTCATTTGAAAAATGAAGCATGAGGTCAGGAATAAAGAGAGAGAGGTAGAGACTGTCCTTACACTTTAGATGGGATTTGTGGTTGGAAGCTGAGGCCATAGGATGTTCCTTCGCTAGGAAAGCTCTTCAAGTCAGTATCCAGTCCTTTCCCTTGGGTCCTACTACAACATCCTCATATTCAACATTGGACTCTAGACACTTGAGCTCATATGCTTACTAAAGACCTATACATCACTGAAGAGACATAATGATTGAGGATTATAAACACCATATACTCAGTAGACACTTTCAGATTTGTAGAACAACTACTCTGAATTTAATTTACTGGTTAACTTACTATTGGAGCAACTATCACATCTTTATAGTTATGTAATTCACGAACAATAAGTCATTACTATTATTTAGTATTAAATAATTGAAATTATGCAAGGTACCACTAAAAACTGTTGAATATTATATTGAATGAGTTTGAGAGAAGGTTCCTGAGATAGATAACTTAGTGGGTAAAGGCGCTTATGTTTTAAGCCTGAGGGTCTGAGTTCAATCCCCTGAAACTATATACATGAGGAAAGAGAAAACAAGTTTTGTAAAAGTTGCCCTCACATCTCTGTATATGTACAGAAGCATTTATGTACTCTTTATTGTATACATTACAAGCACACATACACACATACATACATTAAACTAAATGATTATTTTAAAGTTTAAAAAGAAAACAGATAAAAATCACATTACTTATTAATTCTTCTATATTGGTTATTTTTGTTGCAGTCATTAAACAACATGACCAAAAGTAACTTATGGAGGAAAGCATTTATTTTGACTGAGTCCATAGAGAGAGTCAATAATGTCACAGGAAACATGGCATTAGGTGGACAGGGCAGGAAGCTAAGAGATTATATTTCAACCACTCACAGATAGCAACGAGGGTGAACGATAGTTGGGGGAGGCTTTAAATTCTCAAAGTCCATCTTTTATGACTCACTTCCTCCTGTAAGGATTCACCTCCTAGACATTTCATAACCTCATCAAACAACCTGGAGACCAAGTGTTCA